TCCCTTCCACGACGACACCACTGGATCCACGGGTAACAATGGTGGTGGCAAGAAGTTAGGTTTCTTTCCTTGTTGACACGGGGCCAGCGTCTCTGTGCTTACTAAACACTCGGGACCTTGGCTCCCCTCCTCTATCTTGGCTGTTGGAATGAAAAGCTTAATAGAAATACCAGCCCAAACCCCTCCTTTACATTGTTCTTTTGTCAATATTACTTTCCTTCACTCCTTTAAGTAATCCCCCACTGCCGCACCCCATCCTGGGAAGAGATGTTCTCCATTTTACAGGGGCAGGGTGGGTGGCCTTGATTGATATGCTCCCAGAGGGGAGCTGCTATCCTGGGAGGGGAGCAGAGTAGTAAAATTCTTATGTTAATTTTGCAGAATTATCTAGAGGACTGATAAGATACTTTTCTACCTCTGGATGGTACTACTAAAAATTAATTGATTTAAAGACAGGCGCTTGTACAAATTGGGCATTCCAAAACTTCCAGAAATTCTGATAAAAGTTACTCAGCATTCATGTAAAACAGACTAGATCCTGGATTCTAGTTTCCTCAAAATATCTGGCTATGATTCCAAATGTTTCAGTTTCCTCCCATTATTTCAATTACAGTTTACTGTTTTTAATTCTCATATTCAACCATTCATTCTTAATCTTGTCAAGTTTATTTCCTCCAGAACAAAAAATCCAACTCCAGATGTTGCTCAGAAGAGGATTTCAGTCCACCCCCACGCCGATGAAGACGCCCCGCAATTCCTCCTTTCACGCGCCCTTGTCTGCGTCTGCTTCTGCTGCTCAGAAGGCTCCGTGGCCCCTCCTCTCCCTGGCGGACAGCGAGGCCTGCTGGAGCCGCAGGCAGGGACAACGCCCCTACTCAGCAGGAAGCAGTTACAGAAGAGCGACCGACACCCACTTTTCCTTGAAAGATTTCAAGGATCCACATTCCTTGAGGGGTGAATGAGGTGGGGCAGAGAATTGAGACAAGCATCATGTCCTCACCCTAACAATCCTTTCTTCTTTTAACCAGCAAAAAGGGACAAGCGTTAGGGCTACTCGCACAACCAGCTGGGGACTCCCTCCAGCCTGTTGCCTATCTGTCCAAACAACGCGACCTTGTGATAAAAGGCTGGCCTCTCTTACAGGTCCTAGCACTAGCTGAACTCCTTATCCCCGAAGCCCAAAAATTGCCCTCCACCAGCCCCTATAAGTACACTCCTCACACAGCCTCTCTGACCTCAGCCACTGGGCTCCAACCCTTCTCTCCCTGGCCTGAGTCCAAGTCTTACACTCTCAGCTTCTACAACCCTCACCTTCTACCTCCTCTGGCCCCATTAGCCTTTATCATGCTCCTTCTTTTCCTTCCCTGCTTAATTAACCTATTCCAAAGATTTTTACAGAATCAAATGGCAGCCATCTTCCAGGCAACTACTTGAGAGCACCTCCAAATGGCCTTCCTGCTTCAAAATATCAGAAAACCCCCTTCATCGCCCCATCTCAGCAGGAAGTAGCCAAGCAAAGAATGGTGACCCATCTTCCTATACCCTTTTAGAGCCAGGAATGATAGAATCCGGACCTGAGTACCACCTTTTAAATAAGCCCACCCACCATCTCAGAGGAACCTAGGTGTCATCTTATCTAGGCTGCAAGCATCCTCCAGAGGACATGTCAGCAAGTCACAAGCCCACTTTTCCCCTGACCCCTCCCCTCAAAGAGCCCGCCAAAGCCCTGGCCATAAAAAGCCTCTTGACCTGTTAGAGACCGTCTTTCCTTTGTTCTGCTGGCCAGGACAGAGGAGTCCCTCTCAGGTTGAGGAATAAACCTGCTTGGGCCTTTCTGTTCGCATCCCCTCTCTTCTTTCAAACAGTAAGGGAGGAGATAGAAGAATAACCATTCTAAAGCCAAGCATGAAATTGGTGGTCATGAAAATGACTTCAAATTGTTAAAAGAAGAGCCAAAGTATGCTTGAGATTTTCTTTTTATGAAAGCAGGTAGGAAGTGTGTTTATTTCAGTAGGATATGTACTTTATTTTCTTCTTAAGAGAATTGTAACTTAAAACACATATTGTTAAGATGTTATCCTTATACTTACTTTGTTACATGAAATTTATTTATTGAAGCAATGTATTTCACAACAGCAGCAGGTGTATGACAACAAAAAGAGGAAATACATCACTGTTTCTTTAGAAACTTTTAGAATTTACTCTCATAAAAATAATCATCTCTAAAGGCCAGTGCAGCAATTTAATAGGCTCCAGATTAATTGTGATTACATTATGTCTCAGCAAATGGACATTGTTTAATGGGGTACAGCTAGATTCCATGGAGAAACCACAGTGGTTATTTTCAATCTGTTATTTCTATCAGATGTAGTAATAGCATTAAGAAGCTTTGAACATTTAATAGTCTCTGCCTCCCGCCCCCTGCCAAAAACTAAATCAGTAGATTGAAGTGAAATAATATGCTGGATTTTAAGAATACAATGTCACAAATTATGTATATTAATTAATATTGCTGGTCATTCAGAAGAACACTCAAACATTGCACATGTTAAACCAGCTATGTGGAATGGCATGGGTCCATAATTTCAAGGGCTTCATAAAACATTGCTGTGGACAAGGAACATTTAAATCAAAATTGAAAGTACAACCCTCAGGTCTGTTGTAGCTTAATGTATTTTCCAGTCCGAGTTACGTATGCACTATCACATTTTGTAATCATATAAAATGCACAGGTTCCAAAAATAAACACAAATGGTCACCTCTAATCATGTTATTAACAGCCCAGTGAAATTCAGTTTGGCTAAATCCCAACACTGGCAGTCTCCTGTCTGATCCATGGATGTTCTTGCTTCCATGTACAATATATCCATTGTTTTAACCTAACAACATACATGGTTGCTAATCATAACCAAAAACAGCTTTATATGACCAGCCATATATTTTGAAATGTGAAGTTGATAATTGATTCTGAGCAAATGTTTCATATTTTACTTGACACTTACTGATTTTGGGGGCTTTTTCCAGGAATGACAGTTTTAAATCAATAATCACACACTGTTACTGCTATATTTCTATAAAAGCATTCTGTTAACTGTTCTTAGCACTCCTTTATATGTAATTAGAGTTATAAGTGCAAGGGAAATAAAAATAAAAATTTTACTGATGTTTAATTTATCCATTTGTAAAGCAATTGAATAAACTGAAAACCTGCTATCTGTTCTATGTTTTCAAAAAGTACATGTTTATAACATGGTCCTTTGTAGCTTTTTGATTGTTATTATGATTTCCAGAGGAAATATGTTGAGATAATTTTTGAGGGCACTTCTCAAAATATTTTGGACTCTCAGCCACTTCTTGAATTTATGATTCCTGACATACGCCAGTTTTTCTTTCCATTCCTTACTTTTGTATTAAATATCTATGGAGGTGTTTTAAATAATGAAAACAGCTTTTAGCCCATTTTCTTCAATGCTAAAAAGAAATTAAAGAAAAATCTGTTTCCCTGGGCACAATCACTGAACTCTCAAAAGAATGAGTCTTCAGATAAATTACAATTGGGAAAAATAGAGGTTGTTTTTAATAGTGATATTGTATAAAATCACCAGATAGCATCTCCTAGTCTCTAGAAGATTTCTGCTCTCTTGTTAGACAAAATGTTTAAAAGAACAGAAATATTGTTCTGTACCAAAAAGGGGATACTTCAAAGTACTGTGTTTTTATTTTCATATCTTACTTTGCTCACTTGTTAGTCTCTCGCTTCCATTTTTACTGCATAAAGAAACAAATATATGTTGTTTGTGTAAACTATGAGGTTTATGGCTAGGGAAAGCCCTAGAAGCAAGCACTAAAATTCTGTTTTTAAATCTTTCTTCAAGGACATCAAGTCCAGGGTGTAACATAATGTGGTAATAGCATTGTTGATTCAAAGCTGAGTTTTGCTACAAGAGACACAGCCAGAAGGCAAAATTAAATGTGTAATGTCTAAACCAAGCTCACTGATCACTCTTGTTATCCTCTGAGAACCTCAAGCTGTGGCTTACCAACAGTTTTCTTGCAGAATGTTCTGTGAAATAGCAAACTGATTTCAATTTATCTGTTACCTTTGGGCTTTGTTTACTTTCCTAAATGGAGATGCAGCAATATATAGAGAAAGAATTCTGGAAAAATGTACCACCTAGAACTGTTACCCAATCTCTCTTCTGAAGAGATATATTGTTGTGGTCAAATATGTTGCAGAAATAACTGATTCAACAAAGATAAATGTTTTTGTTTATCTGCTTGTTTGAGATAGCTCAGGGCTTTTCCTAGTCTAATGGTGAATTTCCCAAAAGGAAATATGGATAAAAGTGGAATGAACGGTTATTTCACCCCAGAACACATATTTTTTTATTTCTTATGAAGATTTGTATTCAGCTGAATGTTCTTTGGGAAATGGTGTCCTGGTAGAAGCTAATGTTAATCACCTGTTTTAAAGAATCAGTTATAAAAATTGTAATACTATCATTAACGATGTTTTATTAGTGTAATATTAATGAATGAGCAGATTTGGAATATTTTTTCTTTCCAATTTCTATTGGAATATATCCTATTCCATTCTAGGTATGATATATAGCATTATGCATTTTATCAAAGAGAAATGTCTGTACATTTGAGATACCTTGATACCTTGGCCGAATTTTCCCATTTCTGTGAGACATATATGCAAACTGTGACATGACATGATGTTCAAATTTATTTTTAAAAATTTCTTCCTTAAAGTATTTCTTTAAAAAAAAATTTCCTTTCTAAAAGTCCTTTAAAAATAGGTTTAAAAAATTTACTCCTGAGTCATCTGCAATGTTAAAGATGTTAAAGATGGCAGTGGAACTATTTAATAGTTGTATCTTCCTGTGTTAAGGGAATTCCAGCGCAGGGAGGTAATGTATTCAAGTTTGAGTATTGGGAAAAAAAGCAAAAATTAAGAGAAAACAGTAACAAATGAACAGAACACCTGTGGCATAAATAAGAGACATATTTATTTCTTTTATTCAGGGAGCACAAAGTTTTCCAGCCCAGGCTCCTGTCTTGCTGACTTGCTGTAAAAAGGGCTTCCATTCCCAAGGCCACCTCAGGGCCCCTGACAGCTGCTGGAGTTTCAGCATGTAGATGCTTGTCTAGCCAGAAAGGAGGAAGAGATGAAAATTTTAAGATTCTCAGAACATTTTCTGGAAGTTGCACACCCTACTCTTATATCCATTAGCTAGAGTTTAGACATATGGTCAAACCTAAAGGCAAGGAAGCCATGTGCCCAGCTAAAAATCGAAAAGAAAGTGAGAATAGTGATTAGGAGATAATTAGGAGCTTCTGCCACTCAGGAAGTTAGTTAAGGCAGAACTCGAGTTAATTCCGCTCTTTAGAATTCCTATCCATTCCTTCTTTACCACATTTCTACTTATGTGAATATACACAGGTTCTCCATTATTTTATTTTGCAAGCCCTACTTCAAATCTCCCCTACCTCACAAAGCTTTTCATAAATACCACACCTCAGAATGAAGATTTCTCTCTCTGCATTTATATGTATTAGGTCTATGCCGCAACATCTAGACTGTAGTATGTTGCACACATTTCTGTTCATATGCAGCCTTTCGCCAATGGCATTGCAGGTTTCAGGAGGCCTGGGAGCTTAACTGTACTACAGATTTGTGGCTAGTCCTTGGGTTCAATTTTCAGGATCCAGTGGCCTTTGAGTCCTGTCGTAGTTTACTGGGTGTAACTTTGTGGATCACTGTTGTTTACAAAAATGCATCCCATCCCTTGGCTTCTGTGACACTATGCACCAACTCTTCTTACAAGTGCTCATTAATGTGTTAGTGTTAGAACACTAGATACAATCCACAGGAGAAGAGATACTGGAGTCTGAGATCACTTCCCCTCCCCTTCCTGAACTCATTTGTAGGATATTTTAAGTCAAAGTTTGCAGAATGTTGGTCTACAGACCGGATCTAGTTCATAGATATGTTTTATTTGACTTATACAAGGTCATTAAAAGAGTGATTTAGTTGGCAACATTTAAAAATCAGGAGACATCATTTTAAAAAAAGAAACCTGAATTTTTAAGTGCTCCCCAAAAATTCAAAGATCTGGCAACATTGGACCAACATGCCCATGTGCTATTAACAGGCTGGGACTGAATACCCATCATCCCTTTGGAAGAGACAATGCTATGCAGTCACTTTTGTTTTTTTTCTGAGCACACAATTAAATTACATTTCCCAGTAAACTAGGTGTAGCCGTTTGATCAAATACCGTTCAAAGTGATGTATGTAACTTCAAGGAATGGCTACTGAAAAAAACATATCCATATGATGCTCAGGGCTCACTTTGTTACCCTTGTGTCAGACTGATGCAGAGGATGTAGCTAGAAGATGTCAGGAACATAGGAGATGATGGGGCACTGTAGCATAAGCAATTAGGATTTGGGGATTATTTGTTACAACAGTTAACCTAACCTGACTATCTCACCTGTTTCAGACAGTGGTAACTGTCTAGTTTACCATGATCTCCTCCAAGCCCAATTTACCTTCTTAATTCCAGCAAGGAGTTGACGTTTTTACTCAGATTATGCATCTTGAGTAATCGCAGAATAAATTTTGAGAACAAAATTTAAAAGGAATTTGACAAAATGAAAAACTTAAACTTACTTGTCATAGAACAACTGAAGAAATTATGAATGTACAGCTTGGAAATGGAAGGTTTGGAAGATATTTTAAACAATCTCCAAATATTTGAAAGGGTTTATGTAACAAGCATTTGAATTTGCTTTGCATAGCTCTGGAGGGCATAATTAGGACCAACTGGATAAAAACAGAAACTGAAAAACCATCTATTCAGGATGTTACAGAGACTATTCCTATATTGCATTAATAAGTTGAACTGGAAGACTCTGAATTACAGAAAAATTCCTAGACTTTCTTACGATGGTACTATAAAAATCACTCAACTTATATATGAGTGTATATACCTACTGTTGACTCTGCCTTCTTGGAAATATTACAATTTTTGTTTTGTTCGGGTTTAGTTTTTATTGTTACAGTGAGCTTATAATGTTTTGTTTTTACAAAAGTGAGCTTCAGCTATGTTACAGATTGATTTGTTTATTATGAATATAAAAATGAAATTAGTAATCAATAGGTCCTAATAATACTAGCAATTTTAATTTCACAGTTCCTAATATTGAAGATAGGTATATGAGCTTTTATGTTTCTTTATATAAACCCTTTTAAATAGGTTCAATGGCTATTTAATTTATAGTTATCTTTAAATTTCATGTGATTTTTTACAGAATCCCAGTTTATGTGACTATCATTAAAATATATTTAAATGATTTTCCTTAAATAATTCCTTTACTGAAAACACCAAATATTTCCATATTTCTGCTATTCTGTGAACTTTTTCATTCTGTATGACTAATTTGAAATAAAATTGTAAAAGATACCTGTCTCCCCATTCCCCCATCCCATTCACCATTTTCTCTTTCCAGAAATAACTATTAGCCTAAATTTAGAATTTTTCATTCCCATGCATATTTTTGAATCATTACTACATAAGCAAGTATCAAAAAATTACATATTATTGATTTGCTTGTTATTAAAACATATGCACTATTCAGAATACAGTTTGCTTTCTCTTATTCAGTATTATGTTTTCTTTCATTTTTAAAGAAGTAAATACATTCTGTTAAATATTTTATGTATTTTTCCCTTGAAAAAGGAGATTTAAACAATTAATTAATTTGTGTAATAGTTAATCCATTCACATGGTTCCAAAGTCATTAAGCGTAGAACACTATAGAATTAAAAGTCTCCGTCCTACCTCTGTACTTTAGCCACCCAGTTTCCACCCACCTTAGTTCCCCAAAATAGGTACCCATGGTTACTGGTTTCTTGTGTATCTTTCCAGAATTCTTTGAACTGCATAAATAAATGGCAGCATGCTCTGAACTTTACATTGCATTGCTTTCTTTACTTAATAGTATCTTGATTATTTTTTCATGTCATTGCCTAAAGAAAATCCTTTGTTTTTTCTTAGTGTGGCACCATGTTTCATTTTATGAATGAAACTTCAAGTATTTAACTACTATTCTATTGAGGTATATTTAGGTTGTCTCTGTTTTTTATGAATTACAAATAATACAGCAATATAAAGCACATGCATAATTTTGCACATCTGAGTTTTATTAGTTATTGATTACAGCATGAGAAATTAGCAGCTCAAATTGAGAAATGCTTATTATCTCACTTCTTTTGTGGATCAAGAATCCATACAGATTGGCTGGTTTTTCTGCCTCAGTTAAGTCTCACAAGGCTGTTAACAGGAATTGGCCTGGTCTGCGTACTCATTTAAAGGCTAGAATAGGGAAGGATCTGCTTTGAAGCTCACTCACAGGGCTGTTGTTAAGAATCAGTGCTGAGAGATCAGACTGAGGGCCTCAGTTCTTCACGGACTGTTGGCTGGAGGCCTTCTTTGCTTCCTTGCCAGACGGGCCTCTCAGTGGGGCAGCTTACACGATGGCAGCTTGCATCTTCCAGAGCAAGGATCCTACAAGAGAGATAATGCAATACAAATAGTTACAAATAATAATAAATAAGAGATGTACATGCACCTGTGTGTCTGTCTGTGTTGAGTGAGAAGCCACCAGGGGAGGGGGAAGTAGAGGGAAGCCAGGGGGTCACAGAAGGGTGTGCAGAGAGAACACTCAAACTGATGTTCACTGGAAAGTACTAGAGACATTAACTAGAACTGACCTTGGGAGGCATTCAGAAGTTTTCTAAACACACTGCAAGGGCTTGCAGTAAGGAAACCTACGGAGTGGGGACATTCTGGCCCTAACAATGGATAAATTTACCTGCCACCACCAGCTTCCAGGGCAGGGGACCAGGGGGTGGAATCCAAACTGAGCATGACATAGGTAACAGAGAGGCAGAAAAGACATGTCCTGGTAAAGGTGGAGGACAGAGTAGAGTCAGGAAGCAAGCTTCTACAGGAAGTGTAGAAGATGGAGCTCTGTGAGGTTAGGGAACATATCTGAATCAAAGCTCCCTTTAAAAGTTCAAGGAACCCAATTCAACACAACTATGAGAAAAAGAAAATTATTAAGGTTAAATCCCGTAAGTAGAGAATAAAGGTCATCCTTACAATGAGAGGATCTCAGGAGAGAAATACTCTGTGAATAGTCAGACAGAGATGATAGACAAATAAACAAATATTAACTATACCAACTATTTCAAAAGGAGCTAAAAGGTATCAAGAAAACTACATAAGAAACAAATACACAACAATGCCATATAAAATCCAACTTAGAAAAACTGAGAAATGAGATAACAGAACTCAAAAATAATCAGATTTTATTTTTTAAATGCTTTTGAATATTTGTGCCTACAACTTGAAACGCACATTGCTAGAGTTTCACTGAGGTGTGTGCTTAGACAAGGAACTGCTTCATCAAAGTGTGTGCGCATCTTCAAATTCACTTAGTATTGCCAAATTGTTATCACTTTAATGGGTGTGCTAGTCCACATTCATACCAGTATTTTAGGAGAATCAATAGCTCTACATATGTTTACCCACCTTTTCATTGTGACTGTTTCAATTTTGCCAATGTGTTGAGTATGAACTGGTATCAGAATATTATTTAAATTTTTACCTCATTACTAATGAGGCTTAGCATTTTTTGTATGATTTTAATCATATTTTCTCCGAATTACTTGCTCACATCATTTATATATTTTCTTGTTTTTTTCGTATTGATTTGTAATCATTCTTTTATCTGTTCTGAACAGCAGTATTCTGTTATATGCATTTTAAGTATTTTTTAAGCGTAAGATATGTCTTTTTAGTTTTTAATATCTATTTGAAACCAAACTTGCCATTTTAATGTAATATATATTTCAACATTTTCATATATGGCTTGTTGTTATGTTTTAGTGTTTTCTTCTCTCCTGCCCCAATAAGAAAAATAAATGTATTATACATACTTTAACATTTTATACATTTTTGCTTTTACAGTTAATTCATTCATACATGTGGAGTAGATATTGGATATGATGTGAAGTATGGTTCTAATAATTTATTTTTGCTGTATCAACAGCCATATTGAAACAATGCTGTAACAGACACCCTTGTGCAAATGAGCATGTATTTCTCCACAGTAGCTCTAGCAGTGGAGGTATATATACCTGTGCTTGCATTCATTAGCTATTGCCAATTTATTCTCCTAAGGGGATTTTCAAATCAACACTATCATTGTGCAATATGAGTTTTACTTCCTTAAGAGCATCGTCAAACATTTGTGCCAATCTGATGAGTGTTAATTGTTAGATCAGGAATCATTTTACATATATATTTTTTCTATCAATTTGTTTTTTTGACATGTATTACACAGTTATTCAAAGTGGATGGCCTGTTTTCTGAGTCTGCATGATTTGTGAATCCCAGCTGATTTCTTTCAGAGGGAAAAGTAAATACCCCAAAGAATGTATTAACCATGATTCCTTCCCCCTGATTGTTACCTTGTACATGAGACAATATCTTAAAGGTTATATTGGAAAAGGAATTTACAATTATTTATTTGATTTTTCTTATCCCTGCTCCTTAAATATTCACAATATTAATAATATCTTAAATCTGTACACATACTTGAGAATCTTAAAGAATTCTAACATGCATTTGACAAGCATTTAAAACTCAGAGTTTCTCACAACTAAACATAATAAAAGTAGTAAATGTTCTTTTTTGTGCCAATAAGTCACTTTCAGTTACTTAGTTACCTATTATGTTATGTTTCATCAAAAATGCTTGCATATTTATATCAACTTTCTGTTTACCCCTTAGATTATTCATGCCTGTGCAGAGTGTCAGCTGCAGAAATAGGAGGTTTAATGAGTTTCATGGGGATACCTCATTCCAAGAACAAAAACTGGAAAAGGAATAAAACACAAGTGCCTGCATACTAATATGGCCCCTTGTTAGAATCAATCTCGGGAGCACAAGATGACAGATCATCCCTATACAATTTACATCTCCTTTGGAGAGACCTTTACTTCCAATGTAGTTTTCTTTATATAAGCTAGTCTGCTACTGACACCGCACTAATGCTAAATATATAAGGAACAAATACCCAAAGGGAGAGGTCACCACGGCTGTACCCTAAATACTGCATTCTCTGCACCTGCTCAGGTTTTATTTTAGACTACTGCTTTGTTCTGCTGCTCTTTTTCCTTTTTTCCAATAACCAATGTTGTTTGTAATAAAAATGGATACCATAAAAGTAAACACTTAACTTATTAGCATTCTACACAGACATTCTTATTGTTTGAAAGAGAGCCTTAATTTACTTTGGTGAAGATAATGCATTATAAAGCACCTTTTTTACATATTTAATATATGCTATGTAGTGCTAGTCTGTTGGGACAGCAAGCAAAGTAAATTTAAAAGAGACAAATTTAAAGCTGATCTATGAAAGCCATGAAAACTGGAGAACAAAAGCAATTATTCATGCGTTTCAAATTAAAAATTCCAACATATGAACAAATAAAGAGAGAAAGATTTTGGACCTCTGTAATTTAGACATATTATTTTGTGTTCAGTTTCTGTGGGTGGAGGTGTGCAACAAAATACATGGAATTATAATCTTGACATTCTAATATTCATTAAAAAAATGTGGTCTTAAATTTACAGTAAAAATTAAGCAAAAGACTTCCAGAGGACCCTACATTTCTGAAGTCAGGTGAAGTTTTTGAAGCATTATTTTCCAATGGTATTTACAAAGATTTCATGAACTTGTCTGAAACATAGGGGGAAAAATTGTTTGAGTTAGTTTTAAACCTTGCTTTGAACTGTATTTTGCACTTTCAGATGAATGTGTTCTCAATTTTTCAATTTCCTCAGATTTCAAAGAGAATCAGTTTCAGTCATTAAAGTGGAAAAGTGCTGAGTCTCCCATACATGAAAGAATACTCTGCTGCTGGTGGGAGACAGTAAGGGGAGGAAAAAACCAGAGAGACAAGTGAGGGTGAACATTAAAGAAATGACTAATTTATGTAAGGCAGTTACCATGTATTATTTGTTTTACTACTGTGGTTGATGCTATATCTTGTAATCCACTCATGCATTTCATTTTAAAAAAAGAATTCTTCTTCCCTTTTGGGCAAATGATCTGAGAGAAGTTAGCCACTTGCTCAATTTGTATGGCTACTTAAGTGTCAGAGTCAGGATTTGAACTTTATAATCTCTTTAATTGCACAGTCAACATCCTATCCAACATACTATGCAACAAGAAGTAAACAGGGAATTTTGACTAAGGGGGAGAAGACCTGCAAATGAATCGAATAAAACCATGAGTTTGCTCTTTGTGCCCTTCTATGTTATAGAAAAAGAATAAATGTATTGCCAACACTATTTACTTAAGGGATACACCTTCTTGGAGAATTTCAAAAATCTTGGACACTACTATTATCAGGCCCTATATTGCTGGAGAATTGATAAAATTATTTTATACTATTTAGATATCATTTCTTAAGGGCTTATTTTCTGCCAGTCATGGTTCTATTTTCACTTTTCATTTGTTCAACAAACCTGTAAGGGAAGTGTTATTAACCAACTTTCATAGAAGACGACACTGAGGTTCAAAGATTGATCAACTGCACAGAGCCCTTCAGAGACTTATCAGAATTTAATCAAAAGTCTCCAATCTTCTACAAAAGCCCTAAACTCCTCTGTTTCCGAGTACCCCAAGGAGATGATGATGGAAGACATTCAAGAGGCCACCAATGATGTCAAGTTAGAGAAATGGAACAATGGTTGTGGTGATGCTTACTTCCAAAATTTCTTTTTTATACAGAGTAACCCAAGTGTTTGGATTCCAAAACATCCAAATAATAATCTAAATCCTTTCTTTCACTTTGCCAAAGAAATTTCAAGAGCAGGCAAATCAGCAAAACCTCATCATGAAAATCTTTTCACTTAAATGAAGAAATAATAAAGAAGCAGTTCTTTGAAATTCCTTGAATGTGCTGACAGTAAATGCTACTATGTTTCCAGTCATCGCTTCGGAAGGACATCCATCCCACCAGCTGAACCCCATGGCTCTGGAGTTGTGAATCCCAGATTCCATATCTTAGTTCTTATTTTGTTAGTCAATGACATAACATTTCTGAATCTGATTTTCCCCCATGTATGTCATGGGGATTCTAAGTTTCACAAAACCACTCAAAGCAAATTTGAAGCACCGAAATGCAGGGGTGCATGTAAATTAAGAAAGAGCTCAGAGATCTCAAGAATGCTTTGACCACAGCCCTGGCTCCCCGTTTCTAAGTCTTTGGGCCTATGTTGCCTTCCTTCAGTGTGGTCACATGGCTGCCGTCGTTCTGAGCCTTCATGACACACTGTTCTCCCTTGAGTAAGGGAGCTCTACTGTTTTCAAACCATCAAATACAAGTCCTTCAAATGTCACCGGGATTTAATTATCTTGAGGCCTGTGTCTACCCTTTAAAATAGTTTCTACATTAGGAAGCATGGGAAGGTACCCTCTTACAGGTTTA